AAGCAAATAAAACTCTGGCTTACATTTACTGATGCATCTCAAGCAAGACCCAGAAAGTCATCCTCCCACTGTACTTGGCCTTGGTGAGGCCACAGCTAGAGTACTGCATCCAGTTTTGGGCTTGAGAGAGTCCAGAGGAGAGCCACGAGCATAATCAGAGGGCAAGAGAGCAGCCTTTATGAAGAGAGGCTGAGAACCATGGGACTCTTTTGCCTGGAGAAGTGCAGGCTCAGGAGTGACTTAGTGGCAGCCTATAAGTATATAAGGGGTTATACTTAGGTATTACTAGGTTCTGGGGGAACACTTGTTCACCAGAGCACCCCAAGTGAAGACAAGGACCAATGGTCACAAACTCCTGCAAGGAAAAACTTCTTCACTGTCTGAGCCACCAAGGCCTGGAATAGACTCCCCCCAGATGTGGTACAAGAACCTACTCTGGACACTTTCAAGAAACATTTGGATGCCTATCTTGCTGGGATCCTTTGACCCTAGCTGACTTCCTGCCCCTTGGGCAGGGGACTGGACTCAGTGATCTTACGAGGTCTCTTCCAGCCCTAATGTCTATGAAATCTATGAACCCCTGTTCCATCTGGCAAAAGTCAGTACTGACCTGCCCCACATGCCTTCTGTTGAACAAACATGCCTGTTTGCTGGGCTGGAGTACTAAAAGAAATCCAAATCACTTTCTTGCTAGCAAATGTAACTGCACCTTGTGCTGTACAGAAAGCATGTACAAGATAACAAAATCCCTGCCCCGCTAAGTTTACAAGCTATGGCCCAGATCCAACAAGGAAAGGTACAGAGATTCTGAGCACTACTCATTACAGAGTTCAGTGTAGGATCAAGTTTTAAATATAGGAACAGGAACAATTCCTGCGAGAGGGGACATCTAAATGGTTGGCTTAATAGATCAAATGCTTTTATTTTTCTGAAGTGAGAGAGAATACTTAGCATGCATTAAGCAGGAGATTGTTTTATGCATAAGGCTGGCATTAAAGGAAGACCCAAAAACATAACCAATACCATTGCATGGATGGGATGAATCCTACAGTTCACATTTCAGCCAGAAAATCTGGCAGGTTCAGTGTCCCATGCTAGCAAAGTTTTGGCCTACCATGCACAGTTCAGGAGATGCCTGGTTCCCAAGGCTCCAGTATTCCTATTCAAACATGGTGAAGCAGTGACACATTGGGGTTGTATAGAGGGTCCACCTATTGCTCAAAAGCATCTGTGATTTCAGACTGCAGATGAATTGAGATTAGATGTAGTAAAAGATCAGACCGACTGCCTACGAATAAAGAGGGTGGGCTGTGGATTAAGTTTATATTAGCAAAACCAAAGTAAAGAGGACTTTCAGCCTTCTGTATACTCTTGTTCCTTCTCGCCCCATCCACAGTCAATGCAATCAGGGGGAGTCAAGTCAATTGTAGCCTATCCAGCAGTTTGGATAATGTGATTCTACTATTAATAGTGCACGATGGCCCAGACTGCTTCTACAGCATAAAACTCAGTACTGAGATGTTGGTGCTATTGGAAAGTTTAGAGCTTGTCTACATGGGTAGTTGCTTTGTCTTAACTAAAGGTGTGAGTTCAAACCAGTCTGGGTAGACACCTCTGCAGACACTTATTTTGGTATGAGGGTGGCTTCAGTTCTGATTAAATCAATCAGGAATAAGGTTAAGCTGAAATAAGTAATTTTAAAAATGAAACAAGAATGCCTGCAGGGATCAGTTTCCATTTAACCATATCAGTGCAAGGGTGTGTGTGTGTAGATTAGACTTTAGTTGACTCCCAAGAAAGCAGTATTCTTTTTTCTTGTTTCCTGCCCACCGCAAAGTAGATTGTCTTAGTGTTTCCTTCAATTAAACTCTTAGAAGCAGCTTTAAAGTCAATGCTGTGCTATCTGAAGAGCAATATAGAGACATCACAAAGTATCACAGAACCATGTTTCAAATAAAGGGCCAGGCTGCAGCTGCTACATTTCCACCATACCACTGTCCAGGCCTACCTGAAACTAAAGGCTAAGTAAGGTTTCAGATGTGGAAAACCAAGAGACAGAGCCTGTATACTTGGCCTGCAACCGAGGCCACAGGACTCGGCTCCTTATTTGTGGGATGATATCAACTTTGGAAACAAAATAACACATGTATTTAACTTGATAATGACTTTTGGCAATTATGTATGTCTTTGTTATCTCTACACAAACTTGTATTATATGCTGTATTTGCAGCTGCCTTTCTAGGCCATCAGAAGCAAAGGAAAGACATAAGTTTATACTGGAGTTCGAACTCTGACTCAACTACAGTCATACATGCTATCCCAGTCTGCATGTGCAGTTACATCAGGTAACTGTTTTTGATGGCATACTTTTTCCTTTGGGTTTAAAGGAGACCTACATTTCCAAACCTTTGCATGAGCCAGGTATAACTAAGTAAGGTGTGCCCTGTTTAAGAGCATAGCCTTGGGATTGGAAAAGCCTGTGCACTTACCTGAGTTTAATGTGAACAGTGCTTATTAAGTACACTGTGCCCTGCTACAATCCTAAACCTGACTAGCTCCTTCCATTTCAAAGCAGCCTTTGGACAGCTGTTTCCACCTCACCATTTCCATGCAATTAATAGAGTACAATTACATTGCAAAGTAGAAACTGGGGCAGTCTTGGCCCTAAGCAGTTTATTTACTTAACTGATATGCAGATAACTGAAATTTGTTCTAAGCTAAACAAAAGACAACACATTGGGACTGATATTGTGATAAGCAGTTAAATGAATTATGCACTTGTCCTGTGTACATATACAAGGGCAGCACTTGTAGAAATGAGCATGTATTTATTCATACATGCAAATTAAAATAAGTTGCACAAGGATTCATGCATGGTGTGCTGTTCTTGTGTTTAGGCTGGATGTAGATATGTTATAGGTTGTATATTCATCATTAACAGAAGGTGTATGTTGGGCAGATCTCTTTATATCAGTTTTAATGGGACTAGGATTTTAATCCATGAGATAACTCCTACAAATTCTGCAGAAATGTAGATTTGATTTTTCTTATATAGTAGGTGTAATCTGGCCCTAAAATTGGTGCTTAGTGGCTCAGAGAGAAGAACTGATCCTTTGGTAGCATACTGCTACCACAGGGGCCCTTCCACCATTTGCCATCATAACTGGGAAAAGTAGGGTGGCAGAGACAGTGTTTGGGCTATACCAGTCTCTGGCTTCATTTCTGGTCCCTGTAGCTGTGTAATGTAAATTAACTCAGACCTAGGGATGCTTTTCTAGACCTTGGACAGGCATTGCTTTTATCACACACTGCATACAAGTATTACACAAACAAATTGTAACATACCAACTGGCCACATGTTAAAATTATCATGGGATACTTTTGCTCCATAAACAAGTTGCTGTTCTATGTTTCTGGCATGTTATGATTTCTTGTGAAGTACTTGCATATAACACATAACAAATGTAATGCCTGACAGGGACCTCACAGTGCATGGGAACCTCAACACAACAACAGAATCAGAAGAATCTTTTTCAGGTGTACAAGCACACATGCATGTGCATGTACATATTCACAGAGCCTTGGTCCCCAGAATGTGACCCCAGAATGTAGCTCAAGACATTTTTGTCCTTGAAAACAGTACTTGGTCTGATAGTTTATTTTTTAAATATAGATATAAAAATAAAATGTTATGAATACACAGCTTATAGCCTGTACAACTTCCACCATGGGATCACATTATTGCTTAAAAATACAGTCATCTGAAAAACTTGGCTTGCATACAATACTTCCTTTAGGAGAACAACTCTTAAAGTAGTGATTTTGCAGAACAGGAAGATAAATTTACAAAAATAGTCACATAACATATTAAATATAAAAACTGTCAACAACATTAGACCCAGTCTTTAAAGTCAGGAAGTTCAATGGTAGGGCACCTGATCTTCATTTATATTAAGGCTGCTGTAGCAATACAAAGGACACCCAACAATGTGCATAACAGTGAGGTCCCTTTAAGGTCCACCCATATTAAAGTCCCCTGATGGCCTTCACAATGCTGACGCTGGCCTTAATGTAGACAACTGAGTCCATGGCTGCCAAAGCAAGGATCATGCAACTCCCTTGTGCATATATGAGACTCAGTTTTGGCCTTGTTTACACTAGCCTGCTTCTGCCACCAGCAGTTCTGGCAGCACACAGCCGACCATCTTCTCAAGGAGATTTTAGAGTACCAACTATAGCAACTGTGCACCCAGAGTAGACCTTGCTGTTAAAGGAGCTGCAGAAGCTGGCAGAAGGCAGACATGCCAGGTGGCAGCCGAAGCCATCTTTGATTCAGGGAGGTGGTGTTGCCCTTGAATTGCGTAGTGTAGATCAAGCCACTGTTTGCTCTTACATACCCAAGGATAAATGAGATGTTATGCCACGGAGTCAGTATAGCTATGCTCGTGTGAGGAGGCACAAGTCAAATCAGAATATGAATAATAGGGCAAAATTCTTCCCTCAAATACAATCCTATATATAGTATGGCAGAAATAAGCCCATAGCATATAGGATCTGATTCACCTCTTTTAATGTAAAGCCTGAATCCAGTGGCAGCTGCCTCAGATGCCAGCTTTGGGGAGCGGGGATGGAAAAATACAGCTGTCGCCACATAATGACATGGCCAGTTGCGCCAGTGGTGGCACCTGGAAGCTGCTGTTGCCTCTGTATGCAGCAGCTGCCTTGGATGCCTGGCCACATTGTTATGCCTCTTCCTGACTCTCATCTGTGTTACTGGGGTTTTATACTGGCATGATGCCATTAAAATCAATGGAATTAAAACCAATGTATAACCAGAGTAATACACAGGTTTGTATTTGTTTTGATGTGGATACAAATATTTGGCTCATCACTAAATCAACCATTTATAAAAATACATCTCTACATACCACAGATCCATACAGGAATTCAGTTTGCTAAATAT